TTGTGCTGTTAAAGCTGTTAAATCTAAGATTTTTGTTCAAATTGAAAGTAGCAGCATGACTGGGCGAAGAAGAAAAAAAATACTAAAATGATGCTGATTTTACCTTACAGACCTTAACATTACACTCATGAAGATATGATGACAATAGTAGATCATTCACTTAGATCCTTGGAAGACATGTCCTTCACCAAGTTTTGTTGAGTTCTCTCTGAATACTCTTTCGAATCGCTCGCAGGCATCAGATTCATCCGCTCAAAGCACAACCCATATTGCAAATCTCAAAATCTTACATAGTGCAGCATTAAACGCTTGTAAATTATAATATTGAGCGATGCTAATCTTACAGAGTCATAGAATTGGATTGGATTCAATCTAGCCTGAAATATCACATAATTGCTTGCAGGGCAACAAAACTGAAAGCAAAATTTAGCAGATCACATGATAACAGTTGCCACAAGTAGCCTTATGTTGACATAAAAGCTGCAAGTAGCTAATAACCCACTACGATGATGTATCTTGAAGGTGGGAATAACTTAAACTACAAGCACCTTGAAGTGGATACCTAAGGTCAGGTTATTTGGGGAAAAAAAATCTTGCTAGCAATTGCAAAAGGAAGCCAGATAACTTACCTTACTATTAGGAAGCTAAACATCATGTCTTTGTCATCTACAGTAACAGCTACATTAACAGTCAGGATTTCTTTATTGCAGTGCAGAGGACTCTGCATGGCTGCATGATGTATTTGCGCAATGCATTCTGTCTATTGTAGTGAGAGAACACTAATGATGTATTCTGAATTTTAAAAATTCTGAACTGTCAAAATTTCCCTTCCCTTCACTAAAGGGCCTAGGCCAACCCCTGAAAAATAACCCCATAGTATTATCCCTCCTCCACCAAACTTTACAGTTGGCACAATGCAGTCAGGCAGTTAACATTCTCCAGGCATTTGCCAAACCCAGACTCATCCATCAGACTGCCAGATAGAGAAGCGTGATCCGTCACAACACAGAATACGTTTCCACTGCGGAGTCCAGTGGCGGCGTGCTTTACTCTGCTTCATCTGACACTTCACACTGCACAAACTGCCTTATTGCAATGGCGACATCCTATTACAGTACCACACTCAAACTCAGCGAGCTCTTTAGAATGACCCATTCTTTCACAAATGTTTGTAAGGGCTGACTGCATCGCTGTTGGTGCTTGATTTTACACACCTGTGGCAATGAGATTGAACAAAACACCTGAATTCAATGATTATGAGGTGTGTCCCAGTACTTTTGTCCATTTAGTGTATATTATGTACTAGTTTCAAGTCAGTATGCCTCTTTAAGGGAACTCCTTTAATAAAAAATAACTCACTGTAAAAGAAAAACATCTATCGGCTCAGCAGCTGCCGACACTCAAGGTTTCAATATCGGTACTGGAAACAAAAAGTGGTCTCATACCACCTTTAATCCAAAAAATATGGACAGGGTAGTATGAAAGAGGGAAATTAATTACAATTGAGTTACAGACTTATAATAACTAATGAATCACATTGAAAATCCTGGGCATGTATTGAGTCAGACCTTGCACTCGCACACAGGGCGATGAACAAGTCTGCTGCTAAAGCTTTCTTAGCTGTGCCACGGCAGCCTGTCAACAGCTTTGAAAATTAATCTACATTGACGTTTGTCTGGCTATTCCATTTTTTAATCTACCCTGAAAGGTTGAGCTTAAGCAGACTTTTTGGGTAAGCATTTTAGTGCATCTTGCAGTGGGGGAGCTTAAAGACATTGAGTGCGGTTTTTAGAACCAGTGTAAGCTACAGTATATGGCATCATAAAGGTTCTATGCATAAATTCAGAACTAAATAATTTGTTAATGGAACACACAAACAAACCTTGTTAAGGGTCTGTAAGGCAATATAATTTCAATGTCTGCTACAGATTTCAGAAAATATTTTTGTATATATTCCCATCACGTTTTCTCATGACTAATAAAAGGAAAAAGTCCATACAGGCAAAAAAGCATTTAGACACTTTAACTATAGGTAAACTTTAACTTCTTTAGGTTACTTGAAATGTTTAACAAAATGTGAGCAAATCAGACTGATGGTATACTGTGTGGAGAAAGGCTGGAGAACAATTCCAACTGGACTGAGTTTTGTAAAGCAAAGACGTGGAAACATCAACGTCTGGGGCTGTTTTTCTTACTGTGGTTGAGCTTCAAAGCAAACCTTTAGAAGTCTACAAGGAAATTACCTGATTCCTTCTGCAAGAATACTTTGCCAAAAACATAGCGACAGTCTTGGAATGGTCTGTTTAAAATAAATCTCTCTTTGGTTTGATATTTTGTGAACTTAATACACTCAAGTATGGCACAAATGTCAAAAAAACACTTTTCGGTGCCCCTCTATTGAAAATTACACACTATCATGTGTTTAGCTTCAGATATCAAGATGTTCAACAAATATAATAAAGCAAAAAAAACAAACTCATCAGTACCTGTACTAATTTCTTGTCCTCTTTTGGTTGTGAAAATGTCACTTTGTGGATCATACTACTGAAAACTGTGGGTAACAAAGTTGCATTAGGTTTTATTCTGTAATTGTCTTTCAAATTAGGTAATAAACTTAAATGTTATACAGATTTCTGACAATAATGTATGACAAAAAACAGGCATCATTTTTGTATTCCAAATGACTGAATCAGCAAAGACCAACTCTACCCTTGTTGGCCCCATCTGCTGAACAACATGAAAAGAAGCCCCAAACAGCCCTTCAGAAAGAAGACATTCAGAAAACACAGCACCCATGGAAGCTTTTAGGTCAGGATCATGACAGGGTTAGGTTAAGGACTAATGATAGGCACTTCTAAGGGGAAAATCATCATCACCCAAAAAGTCAGCCTCATGCCCTGCTGAGGCACAAGTGCATGGCCTTCATTGAGTGGCCTCCTGCGCTCTTGTGAGTTTAACCCCACACTTCCAGGTGAGGCCCTCATCATTAATTTGCTCAGCATGTAATAAGCTGTGAATGGCTTTGATTATGGGGTTGGAGCAGCTCTGGGTGAAGTGGGGGGGGGGGATGCCAAGCGGAGGTGAGGGAGACGAGGGAAAGGCCCCTCCAGTGTAAGATGAGGAGCGCTGAGGGACTGAGAGGGAGGAACCGCACACACAGCAACAGATGGGCCCCAATGGCGCTCTCAGGTTGTAAACTTTCTGTTAGGAACATCTGTCCGTTTGTCCATATGCCACTCACTCGAAGGAGCTAAAACGAGTAAGCAACCCGCCACTGTTTGGAGCAGGCCTATGGGCACCCGTCAAACTCCGAGTGATGAGACAGAAAGCGACGGGCTATGAGCAAAACCAGGAACAGAGCCGATTATTGTTCTCCGCTCTTTTTGTGATGATGAGGATGAAAATTAATAACAGCACTATGGTGGACCGCTAATTGCCAATGCTAATTGCTTGATTAACATAAAGACTAAATACTGTACAAATCCCCGGCACCTGCTACAGTTGGCATTTACAAACGCAGCTGGTGCACAACACCGTATCCATGGATCAGGATTTTCAATTATATGATGCAATTAAAAAAAAAACAAAAAAAAACACATGAATACAAATGAAAACAATTAAGATTGTATTTATATAGTGAATAAGAACTCTCTTCTGAGCTCTTCCTCTTGACTGTTACATCATCTCTCTCCCTGAAAAATGTCTTATTTTTCTATTTGCTCCGTAGCGAGGGGATAAAGGAGAATTAAGCAGCTGATCGGGGCTCAGTGTCCAGAGCGCTGCATTAGACATTAATCCAGGACAGGGGAAGGGGGGAGATGGGATAGTACCTCTAATCCTCCCTCCCACCCACCCACCCCATCCTACCACACAAACACTTCTCTACAGCAGACTTTAGAAAAGTGACACATTTTCCCCCCTCAATATACAGTGAAGCAAAACATATACATTATATACAAGCCAACAGTACATCAATAAATTTGACAAAAAAATAAAAGGGGGGCTTAAAGGATAATTCCACTGTTTATTTCTTTTATTTTTTAGATGGTATTAACTTGATTATTCACAATGGTTCAAAATGAAATTCACTGTTTTAGAGTAAATTAGAACTGTTTACAGTGGTGGTGATATGGACCAGACTACTGAAGAGTTTACTGTGTTCAAAGCTACATCAAGTTATAAAGCTACAAGTTATTGCATGAAATGGTTATGTAAATGCTGCTTGGATAAGGGTTTGACCTAAAATGTAGTTTTGTAAAAAAGGCATAGCAAAGCAGTATGCATAGGGCATTGCAAGACAACCCCGCCTCTTTTTCAGAATTACCACTCATTATATCATTATCAACAATACATAAAACACCAATTTCAATAGTAAGTACAATATACACATTTTATTTTGCTGTAGATATTGTGAACATGGTCCCATCACCACCACTAAAGAAATCCAAGTTGGTTAGTTTCTCTACAGTGAATCATTTCACATAAAACCACTCAGAATTATTTTGGTTACATCGCAACAATTAAAATGAACTTAATCAGTAACCTGAGCAGTAGTGCTAGCATTCACCTGAACAAATCATTTTAAATGACAAACTTTGTCTTCTCCCTTTCCTCCCCTATACTAAGAGGTCTCCACAGTGACAGATGTTGCTGGGGCAACAGTTGGTATTGAGAAGGAGGGGCTTAAGACCATCTGCCCAGGGTCAAGGTTTGGATGAGTGGGGGGCTTCCCAAAAGCCAGCTATAGTGTCAACTTCAGCTAAAAGGCTAGAACTGTGGTAAACATTTCATTTATTCAGTTATGTTATGTAGCTGCAGGCCTGTGCTCTTGCTTTGTGGGAAGGCGGAGCAAATATTGAAAAGAATCAAGAGTTTTTCAGAACTTGCTCTCTGTTGCATTTAAACTAAACACTGCCTCCTTGTGGTGAACCAATAACGGTACAAGCAAGGCAACCATTTCTTTGAGTCAAATGAAAACGGTACTATGAAAGTGTGTAAAAGCAATTTATTTAAATTAATGATTGCAGATCAAGTACAAAAACAATACATTTAAAGAGATTAAGATGCAATATCAAAAAGAATTCGCAGATTTTTGCTGATATTTTCCACTTCATCACGGAAATGTGCAATCTTCATGTGTGCCATTTTCCTCTGGGAGGAAAAAGGATTGGCATTGGAAAAGGAAAAGAACAAGTTCACAGGTGTCTTTGCATTAGTTTTAAATGCAAACTCTTAAAAATAAAGGTTGCTAAACAGTTCTTGGCATGGATGTATGGTTCTAAGAAAAAAATAAACTGGAATAGGACCTTCATTTTATGTGGAGGTTCTTTAGACTTCACAAAGTACTTCACACCCAGGTCTCATTTTCAAATATGGTTCTCATCAATTGAAAGGTTCTTTAGGTAACCAAAAGTGGTTCTATGACCATCACTGCCAAAAAACCTTTTTGCCACCTTTATTTTTAAGAGTGCACTCCTACTTACTATGTAGTTGCGGATCCGGCCATGCTCCAGATGGAAAAACTCAATAGCTGTGAGCTCATCCCAAGATTTCATCTGAAGGAATGCACAGTCTGGAGAGCGCTTGGCGTGCTCAGACCTTTTTAAGGCAGACAGTGTAAAAGAACAAAGGTAGGCAAGGTGACACTATGTGCACCACTGCTAATACGCTTTCCCACCTCCAGACCTGTAGTTCATCACCTGCACAAAAGGCTTTGCGTTTTCCTGCTATAATAGACCCAATGTAGTTCATGTCAGACTTGATTATTAACTAATGATATGAGAGTTGCAGGTAAACCACGAAACTGCAGTGCAGGCAGACCACATGACTGGTGTTTGGGTTGGGGGGGGTGGGGGCACAGCATTAGAGCAGCAATCTAACTGTACATGCTGAAATCTTCCTCAAATAGTCTGCACACCAGCCTGGGCCTCCTGTTTTAACTTCCCTAAGCTTAGGTTAAAGACTTTGGTCAGAACATGATAATCAAACCATGCTGGTTACATGAGCACAGCTTAGTTAGACCAGTCTTAATATCGAACCATTAGTGTGCATGTAAACATAGTATCTGTTAAGAAAAATGACAAGAAGCCCACCAGGGAACATCTTCAGGCTCCCAGCCCTCAAGCTCTTTGAGGCAGTAGAAACAGCATACTACGTCAGGCTCATTCTCACTGGGACAGTGCACGAAACCTGCCTTGGCCATCTGAAGTCAAACAGAGAGACATAAATACACATGACCAGCAAAAGACATTTGGAACGAGCAGTCAAGCTACAATGGAGCCTTGATTCAACTGAGATGTGTTGTTTAATTAGTTAACCCACAGAGGAAAAATAACATTTTCCTATGGCAGTAAAGTGTTGGTTGTTTTCCCACCGTAAAATCGTTCTTCAGACTAATGGAGAATGTGCTATATAAAAGGTTCTATATAGAACCTTTAACACCCAAAAAGGTTCTTCTACTGTTACAAGCTTGACATTTTAACAGCAGTACCCTTTTTGGTGCTTTATATAGAACCATTTTCAAAGAAAAATACTATATAGAACTCTATCCATCAATCTGAAGAATCATCTCACCAATTGTCTTTACTAAAAGAGCCTCTGAAGAACTCTTTAAGATTGTATAAGCTTTATAAATAGGCCCAGCTCTTATTTCCACAACTCAGCTGCCTTAAACTGGACTTTGAACAAGTGAGCTCAACCTACAGGTCAACAGTAAGTACAGCTACTACAATCATAAGTTCAGCTGCTTAGCGGTCTTCTGAGCTATGTCTGAAGTGTCTTACTGTAGCGTATATTTATAGACAGAGCTCTACATAAAACTGTAGGCAGGATATTCTGATAGCCTAAGTCACACGGAGCTGAAGTTGGTTCCTTATTTGCCAGCTTTATGTTTGAATCTCATTCCACCTTAAATGGTGCAGCAGTTACATTCTGGCACCTGAGGCTGACCTCTTAGGCAAGATTTAAGGTGGAACAGGAAAATTCAAACAAAAAGCTGCCAATCAGGAACCTGACTTAAACTACAGTTTGAACTACATGCAGATATGAAATGGGTGCTGTTTTCGCTGCCTTTGGGACCACTGGGACCCCAATCTGCCCTTTTGATGGCCGGGATCCATAATCTTCTGTGGTGTCTGGCATCTCCTCAGGATATTAAACAAACGTTCTCCAACCATCCAATCTGTGGTTGGTGCAGTTTACTGCACAGCAACATTTCATTGTTGCTTTCTGCCCCCAGTTGTGCACGCGTCTTCACAATGCCGTGATCTAAAAGTTGAACGGAAACTTATCCTTGGAGACGCTGCCACTGTAGCACGGCTCAGTAATCCTACTCAGAACTTGTAGAGAGGGGAATTACCACTCTAATGTCTTCCAGGTTTCTCAAATGCCCGAGTGAGTCCAAAATGAACAGGTTAAGATGGATCATTTGAGCATTAAACACTTAAACCTTTAATATAAAAACATTTATTAAACTCAGAACAGCATAAGACATTAGCACCACTGTTATATTTAAGAGCTTTTGAATGAGTTATAGAAGTTTAAAGTGGCACCTCATTTGTTCATGACGTCAGTGAACATAAACAGCCAATGAGCTGCTCCACTCGCCAACCAATCAGCACTCAGTAGCAGTAATGCTAGCGTCCTGCTGCTCAAAACCTGTTTGCTCAAGAAAAAAGGAAACACGCTAACTTTTCATTTTTAGGCACTTAACTCTCCCCGTTCATTGAGGACTCGCTCGCGGGTGACCTCTGGCGTTTTGCAGTCATGTTTTTGATAAAAAAAAAAAAGTGCTAAAGCGGAGGAGGACAGGCTCCTCAGTAACCAGCTCTGATCCCATTTGGAGAAGCTGCATGTGAATCTTCAAACCAAACAACACAACGCACTATAGGTATCCCCTATCTGCTAGGGTACATTAGTTGTACACTACACACTGCGGTGCATTGTTGGACTGTTTGAGCGCACTGGACCACTATATTCTCTAGAGACCACTACAAAATGGCAGAACCTTAAAATAGTGCATTACATAGTGAATAGGGCACAGTGTCGGACTCACGCAAAGATGGCTTACATAAAAAATATGATACACTATCGCCTTTCCATCCCCACAGAAGAGGTAAAGCAGCTCACCCTCCTTTACCTTCAACCGGCACAGTTACATAAGAACGCACTGTGAGTTTGTACAGGACGACCGAGCGCCGTCATTCGCGTTACATGAGTTGTTTCTGGCCCAGCTTAAAAAAAGGTGCTGTTTGAACAAGCTAAAGGTAAACAAACTCATACTGAAACCGACAGAAGACACAAGATATAGTCGAGTTCAGCTTAGCAGTGTTGGTGAATGTATTAGCCAGTTATGGCCAGTCGTAACGATAGTTTTGAACGAGTAGCACCTATACCGGAAATTAGCCACCTGAGCTAGCAAGCTAGCCGAGAACGCGTTCGCCACAAATGAGGTTAATGAGGCGTTTTTCATCTAAAGGATGATGTTCCTGTATCTTTGCTGTAAGTGCTGGCACATTTTACTCACCAACTCAGGTGTGCATTGACAGTCTTCGCGAAAAGGCCAGTCGGAGAAAGTCTGCAGGCGCTTGTCAAAGCTGTACATTTGGTCAAAACACAGGAATCGGCCCGCGAGTACTTCAGCATGAGACATGTTGACACAGGCGTTACAGAATACTAGACACTGTATGTGATCACAGTGACACAGAGAGCTGCTCAGTCACACAAACACGTTCTAACCAGCAAAGATGGGGATCTAGTTTAGGCTCTATGACTGATGAAGGAGTTTCAGCTGAACCTCCCACGTGATAACTCTTCAACATCTCAACTACAGCCGCTTCACTTCAGTCAAAGCAATCAGACTGAAGTGCATTTTTCGTACTGTTCTTTCCTTTTCAGACTTATAACTACAGCTTAGGTTAGTGTTTCTCAGCCCTGTTTCTGGAGACCCACTGCCCAGCACTTTTTACTGTTTTCCCTGCTCCCAACACACATGATCCACCTAATCAGCTCATTAACAGCCCATTATTGAGTTGAAGTGGGTGTGTTAAAGCAGAAAAATGTGCAGGGCAGTGGGCCTCCAGGACCAAGGCTGAGAAACACTAGTTTAGGTGACGCTGCTGATGCAAATGTGTCATAAAATTGTCAGAAGCCTTAGCTGTTGAGGCTGTTGATCGCTGCTCCTGAATTAGGACGGGTTCAGGTCAGCCTTCCAGGTTTTGTCTTAAGTGTGTCACTGGAAGTGAGCTGCTTAGGTACGAGAGGACCATTTGAAAGAAGCTCTCCATTCGCTTTCATTTATTCTGGGGATTTTCAGTCCAAAGATAAAGGCACGCGTGGGCAGTTTTAGCTCACCTTATTGCCCTGCCCTCTTCTACAGAGACCGGACTGTCTGTCATTTGATCTACAGGCCTATCAATCACTTTATAGCTTCAAAATAAACAACACTACCAAAAATAATACGATAAAGCTGCAACTCAAAAGGCTGTGCTGTAATGCTGTAATATTTGAAGTAGAAGCTGCTCAGTAATACAAAGCTGGAGAGGGTTCCCTTATTACTACTACTACAATAATGTTGAGATACAATAATTACAATAATTTACATTATTTAAAATGATTATTCATTTATTTGGTTATTTTTACACAAACAACTAATGATGAAGGAGCAAATTAACTAAATTTGTTTTAGTTTCATTATGTGTTGAAAGTGTAGTGTCGTTCTCAGTGGTTGTGATGACTTATGTTCCATTCAACATGTTCACAAAAATTTGCAGGGCAGCTCTTACAAACAGTTCAGTAATTTGCACCACAACCTGGAGATTTGTATCATTAAGTCGCCTGTGCAGTCTCACACATTCCTGTTATCCACTGCACCAGAAGCTGATCAGGAAGTGACACGATTGACCTCACTTGATACCCATAGAAAACAGTGGGATGACTCTGTCCAAGTTATATGTACTGTCAATGGCTCAGGTCTTATACGCGTTAAGGAAATAGAGAGTAATCATATCCTCTCTAGTATAATTTTGCATTTGAGACTTAAACATCGAGCCTGGCCTTTCTTTTGAGCCTATGAGTGTGACGTTAACATGTAAAGATGTCTGATTTGGTTCAAAAACTCCTGTGACATCCAACCAAACACCTCTGACTTTTAAATTACAATTTCAGGCTTTACTGGGTGACTCACAGCAGCGTCACACACTCCACATTTTAGTGTATTTTTTCTCCTGACTCAGTAATGCAATTCAATAAAAAATTGTACATAGTGCTGCTTTAAGAATCTCTTGTTTAGGCTAATTGCTTGCTAGAAGATTCTTTTTAAAGGAAATGCTGTTAATAGGCTGATTGAATTATATATTTCTTTTATGGGAAAGTATTAAAGAATGTCTTATTCCTGATATTACCCAACACAGTGTACTGTATGACCTGATAGCCAATAATACAATCCACCCTACATCTAAAGTCATAAAATGTTCGAAAGGCTCCCTCTGCTGGTGGAAATGATTATTTAGCACCCACGGAATTGCCTCTGTTACTTCAACAATGCAGGCAGCTACTGTTAATTTAAATGAATGAATGAATGAATGATTTATTAATGGTCTGGGGTGATTGTACCCAGTAGTCAAGACGTAACCATGAATTGCGGTCTGGGAGCAGCAGACAACTTTAATGGTTTGTGGTGTGAACATTTGGGAGCTGTTTATGACAGGGAGACACGGAGAAGGCCTGTGACAGCCACCGTGTTCCTGTAACTCTATCCTCCCTGCCCCTAGCTGCTGAAATGTGCTTACTGGTCCAAAATGCAGCTTCTCAAACCCCCTGTGCCCTTCTCCCTCACAGTCGTGCTCAGTGTGTGGCCTAGAGCAACACTTATAGAGTAGACACTAGAGCAATACTCTGCACTAGGCTTTACTGCTTCTCTGTACCAGTTGAACAGTTCGCTTTTAAGAGAAATTTAAGATTCATTTATGGAGCATTGATGATTTGGCCATTTCATCTTCTTGCTTTTGTGCTTTTTGATCATCTCCTTGCATCTGCTGAGGAGCTGCAATGTTGTATGTCACCTGATATTCTGTCTACTGTTTCATATTAGACATGACATTTGGCACATTCATTTTGAGGCTTGGCTTCTGTGGGTTTGACCCTTCACAGTCCTAATGGATGAGTCATAAACTGAAATGAACTACTGTAGACGTTGTCTATAGTGGCAAAGAAGCCGTCATGCAGAGTGACTGGAATTTTCCTCATGTGTAACAGCAGTTGGAAACTTTGATGGAATCATTAATGGAAAGTAGAGGACACTGGATTTGTTCACTTTACTGGTACTGTGGCTCAAGTGGCTTTTACCTTTATGCTCTTTTCCAGTAATATTGTGATATAAGAACTTGTGAACTCAGTGTACATTAATATGGTAATATTTTATTCCAAGGAGTTTTGGACCATTTCTGTTGCTCCATTCATCATGAAATATCCACAGAATGCAAAGAACTGAATGCATTTGTGTTGTGATTGAAATAGTTGTATGCAAACGTTTGAGCACCCTGGTCAAATAGCATGTTTTGTTGATTTTCTGAATGCAAGTAAGTGAACACACCCTTTACACATTTTAATGTACAATTATGGCTTATTTGAATTAAAAGAACTTGGTAAGTAAGCAAATTATACGTTTAATTATGTAACCATTATATTTTATTTTTTCCAATATGTTAAACTCATAAGAAATAGACATTACACACTAAATATGTTAACTTATTTTTAATTAGAAAATCAGCTAAACAAAATTTGACTGGGGGTGTTCACACTTCTGTATACAACTGTTTATAACCCTGCACAGCGGCAACTACACGCACTGAAATTGCAGAAGATTAAAACATAGTAAAACCCATAAAGCTTATTTTGTCATCAAAATTGTTTTTTTTTATTTTGTAAAAATATTAAAAATCAAAAAACTTAAACAGTTTTGATATGACTTATATGATGCTACATGCATTGCATCACAGTGCCCTGGGGAAAGATTAAAGGGGAATTCCACCAGTTTTAACATTTCTGCATAATTCAATCACTGAAATTTACACAAAATCACCCAGAATGGTTTGATGTGAAACCAGTTGTAGAGGACATTAGTTAGTTGTAGAGGAAATTATTGACTCTTTACCGATTTCTTTACAATAGTGGAGATATGATCCAGGTGTTGCAAGGATTACAGCACTAATGTAGCTATTATTTTATCCAAATAACCAGAAGTTTTTATATGTAATGTTGAAAATGGTATAATAGTGTCGAATCTGAGGAGAAAAAACAGTTTGTTTGTGTGCTATTTTGTCTTACAATGCTCTGCATGTATTGACCACTGTCAATGTATTTAAAATGTTTTAGGCCAAAAGCGTATCTCCAAACGTTTCAAATACGATGTTTCAGGCATCAGGCAGCATATTAGTAATCATCTGTGACAGGGCTTTTAGAGGCATTAACCTCTTTAGACCTCTGGTTCCTATCATGACTACTGTGAGCAGTCCTGACTCAGTAAAACTGTGCACAACGGTAACCACTGTGAATGACTTTACATCTTAACCATTTAATTATGTAGAAATTTTGGAAAATTGATGGAATGGCACTGCAGTTTTCCCCCATCTCCAAAGCTGAAGGTATGTTTGTTGCCTTGGGTGTACTGTATGTCTCTCTGCACCGTATGTCTTTCCATGCCTTCATTGACACTTGACTCTTCTCCCTGTCACCCACCAACCCCCCCTGCACTGCTCTCCAACCCTGTCACTCTCTCTCTCTCTCCTTCTCTATCTCTCCCGCTCTCCCCTTCCTGACACAGTTGTCCTCACTTATTAAGGTTCTGCTGTGATTAGCTGCTGGAATGTCTTGCACTTGTTCTGTATTCTCAGTGTGGTGAGATCGAGTGGAGGGAGAGAGGGGAGGGACGCAAAGGGGGCAATGTGTTTGCTCGCTCTTTTCTCTTCACAGCATGGCCTGTGTCCCTGCAAATGCGTGCTGCCAGGTGCGGGACAGTTCCTCACTTTCACTTGCAGCTGACCAGAGTTCACAAGGAACAGTCTTCTTCTCTGTTCAACAAAGTAGTTGAAGATACTTTTGGGAACCCACAAGGTGTTCATGCCAGAGAGGACTTCTACGAGACGTTTGTTTTGTCAGGGTGGAAGCGGAAAGCCTTGAGGGTGTGAAAGAGGAGAACTAGAGGAAGGGAAGAGGCAGAGGAAGAGAGTTTAATGTGGGGCCCAGGTAAGAACATCCTTTTATTTCCTGTGGCAGCTTGTGTGAAAAAGCAGACTGCTGTGCAAAGTAGACGAGCCTCTACACCTGAAAGGGTTCTTTGGGACAAAACGTCAGAACCACTTTTCGAAAGAGCCTTTCATTTGATGGTTCTTTTGTAAATGAGATGTGTGAATATGAAGAACCTTTTTAAAAGTTATAGAAACCTCTACATATTGTATATGTTCTATACCAATTAAAGGTCCTAAAATCACATATCAATCCCAGAACCATTTAGGAACACTTTTAAGAGTGTACTCTTAATTACAAGGTATGCTGTTGAAGAACCATGTTTGTGTCCTTAAAGAACCTTCCTATGGAACCAATTTTATAAATGAAATGTGTTTTGAAGAACCTTTCACATAACGTAAGTGTTCTATACCATAAGCCCGGAACCTTTGCTTTCAAGAGTGTACTCTTAATTACAA